TTTTTTTTTTATTTTTTTTTATTTTTTTCTTTTTTTTATATTTTTTTTTTTTTTTTTTTTTTTTTTTTTTTATACAGAGAAAAATGTGTTTCTTTTACAAATATCTGGAGTAGGGTTGATAAGGCTTCAGTTTAGCAGAAGATGATCTTAAAATTATATTTTCATTGTATGATAAAAATGCATTTTATACCAAGCACTTCAATCTCAGGTTGTTGTTTTTTTGTTTGCTTGTTTGTTTTTGTATGTTTCTTAATCCACTCTTGTTTGTCCAGGTCTTCTCAGTCCTGGAGTCCACCTACCAACATGACAGTCTTCGTTACCTCCTGGACTTTTTTGTACCTGCCAAGCACCTCCTGCACAAACTTCAGCAGCATGCCTGCGTGAGTTCCAAACTGCAAACATTCGGTTGATGAGAACACACACGTAGCTGTATAATCAGAAGCAGAATCGGCTGTCAGAAGCTAGAAGCATACTGTGGGAAATCTGACAGCTGCTGACGTCTTGAATCCTCTGGTGAAAGTGGTTGTCTGGTGGTGTTTATATGTGTGTATGGGCAGAAGTGATGGTTAGCCTTTTGTGCAATCAGTCAGTTTTGTCAAAATAGACCCCCAGGTTTTAAGTAGGGACACCAGGCAGTTAACGTAAATCTCAAGACATAAGCAGGAATGTTTGGAGTCAACTTAGACAAAACCAAGTCAAGATTTATGTTAGCTTTGGCCCATTTAAGTAAACTGAAACTAATTTCACATCCGGTTCATTTCTGAGGGAAAAGACATTTTTTCCCTCAAGTCCAAGCTTTAGATTACTATCAGTCATACAGGGTAAAACCATAGAAAACCTCAATCATAATGTGCCTTCTGGTGTTCAAATCCATGCTCAGTCTTTAGTCCTATCAAGACAAACGTTAAAATTGTTTAGAACATGGATGAAGCACACTCATTTGGCATGGATCCATGGGTCAAAGGCTCAGGAAACCATGATTCCTGAGCCTTTGTTTGAAGGTAATATTAACATGGGTTGTTGAAAAGAAATTGGAACAAATACAAAAAAAGACAATTTCATCAGAGAAGACATTAAACCTTAAATGACTAGAAAGACCCATTTACAACCAAGGGAACATACCATAATCTAAAATAAATGGGAAATAACTACAAACTAACAATATGATACATGAGATAAATAAAGAAATATATTTAAAACAGAAAAAATATCAAAAAGTTATATCAGATAGACTAAAATGTAAAGTGAAAATGTAGAGACAAAAATTTAGCAACAAAAAGTAAGAAACAAAACAAAAACTACCACAAATATTGACAAGGCAATGATATAAGACACAAAGAATGATGACAACTACAAAGAACTGAGTTTGACACGTGGGTACTTTCACTCGGTGTTGGAGTCCTCTCACAAATCTTTTACCAGACCCAGCTTGTGTTTCTTCATTCAGTCATGAGCACCAAAGCAGTATTGTTTTTATCAGATGCTATAAGTCAACAATGATTTCAAGTCAACTCCCATTCTTTGTCTGAATTGAAAAAAAAAAAACGTTAAGCTGATGTGACTGTTCCAGAACTCCACGTATATTGGTGTATTTTGGCATTTTTAAAGTCTTGTGACATATATGGTATACAGATAGTTGGTAATTTTTTCTCATGTATGCATTGGGTTGAATGGTGGGAAAGTCACAGTGCAATATAGTATAAAAATGGCTATGATGTGAAATAATTGTCTTGTTATTTTCATTGGTGTAGCAATTTATTTATACATGGGACAATGCTGCAAATCAGGGTTGATTCCAGGATCTGACCTTTAGGGGTGCTTAACCCAAGTACTGACAATGACTCTTGGCTTGAACAATGCACCCCATGGTGTGGTTTCTCAGTCCAAAGTGCAAAGCTAACAGCACCTGGTATTTCCAGGTGGTCTCTCATCCAAGTACTAACCTGACCAGAGCCTGATGCTTCCAAGATTAGACAAGACTGGGCGTGTCCATGGTGGTATGACCGGAAACGAGGAGCTCAGTCACAAATAGGACTTTCAAAGTATCATAACAATCAAAGACCAAACTTATGCAACCAGAAGTCACAACATCTATATATAAAACACACAAAACAAAGTACAACTAGTTTTAAGCATTATCCTTTACTTTAACCATTAAGTTATGACTGCAAAGCGTTTGTAATGTAAAACCCCGACTATGTTGTTGGAAGAAAAGGGGTGGAGCTTCTTCAAGTAAGAGGCAAATTGAGGTCTCCGATTGGTCAGTTGCTGACGATCCTACTGGAATGATTGACAGGTGGCATTAAGGATCCTACTTGTGCAACAAAAAAAAAATCATAGATGTTACTGCCCAGTTTAAGACTGTCATCATTTATTTAAAATGTATTCAATATTTTGGTGAACCTAAGATTTCAGAACTGAGTTTCCTTACAAAATCCTGATGGTGGTTTTTTTCAGGAGTGCAGTTAAAATTAAGGGGGTGCTTGAGCACCCCAAAACAAGAGGCTAAAATCATCACTGCTGCAGAATATCCGTAGTGTTCAGTAGAATCCCTTTGTTTCAAATCTTCTATGAGCCCTGTTAATATCCAAGTTTCAGTCTTCTGTCAACATCTAGCCATAGTCTCAACACTGTTTCGGTCTTCTTGTTGGTTTCTCTCTGGCAGATTTCCGTCTGACAATTTGTCTTCTGTTCTTCTCATCTTCAAATAAAGTCCAAGCCAAACCCACAACAGGAACTTGCACATCAATTTCCTCCACATTCATGTTTGTGGAATAAATCAAAAGAAAGAAATGTTGGCCTTATAATTTTACGCATCGTGTGATTGGACATAATAAGCAACCGTTACTGAAAAATCACTGTCTAGATGTTGATACACCAACATCCCCACATACACTTTAACAACACAATTCAGTATGTGCTCAGCTGCAAACACACGACTTTGTGAACAACTCCGTATTTACCGATACTTGACACGAGTCCCAAGTTAAACATGCAATAAGGATACACAGTTGTAATGAAATGGACAAGAAATACAGGCAATAGCTTTGCTTTTTATGCATCAAAGCACTTCAAGTATACCACAATACTGTGGCAGAGCAGAGCACTCAGGTGAGATTGTATACTTATTGTTGGGGCACTGCTACATAACCTTTGGTATCATGGCATACTGCAGGATTTTAGATTTTTTACAGTAAAGATATATATATATATACAAGGCAGTTACACAAAAGTGAGATGTTGGTCTTAACAGGATTCAAGCACAAATCAGTCTCAGTTTCTTATATAACACTACCAAAATATTCCATTTTGTATGTAGAGTAAGTGCCTGGCCAGAAGGACTCCAAAACAAAGGGAAAATATCATGTTTTTTCAATTTGATCCATGCTCAAGCGTTTTATTATTTACTAAAACCAGCATAAGAGATTTGAATAAAACTCTGAAACTTAAACTGGTGAGTAAAATATGCAGAAGTGGCTGGTTACGTTTGCGTTTTTTTTCCCATGCAGTTTGTGGTTTCCTGCCTTGGGGGCTGTGTGAGATGAAGGACTTTCAGGAAAGTGAAGCATAAATAAAAGGGGTTTTGCTTGCAACTTTCAGTCCACCACATTTACAGATCTAAGACTACACTCAGCAAACTTTGTGTAACTGAATCATTGTCCAGTGGATTCTTTGCTATGCTTCAAAAACAAGACAATTCATTTATACTTGCTGACACAAAGGCAAATAACTAATGGTATTTAGCACCAGCTTGATAGTAAGGCCATTCTCATATTTCAACGTACAGCTTTCTCTGGATTCAGACACACATAAAACACACAGGGACTGTGAACAAACTATGTTTTTACTGTCGCTGAGTGGAGCTGCCTGGGATGGGAGTTAGGACTCTGAGTCAGGACAGTAATTCCTTCCATATGCGATTGTGTTACTGCTGTGAGAAAAAGAATAACTCACGGTGCATCGGCGAGAGTTTGGAGGGGAGAATGGAGAGAATGAACATGGCCTTCATTCATGCTGCCTTCTGTGCACTGGTGCATGTGCATGTCTGCGAGTTAAAAAAAGAGACAAGATGCTGTGTAAGTTGCAGACCATAGACTGATTGAGGAATTTTAAGAGGGAGGTGGGGGAGAAGGAGCAAACACTGGGGCACATTGAGGGAGAAATGGGTGGGAAGGACCAAAAGACCCAGAGTTTTGGAATATGGACTGACTCAAAACAGACTAACTTTGAAAAAATACATAGAAGATGTGATACATGTTCATTACCACCCTGAATATTTGCCCAAAGCTTCACCGTGGCTGGAGACAAAAAGAGATAGAAGGGAAGCTTAAGGGGACAAAATGGAATAAAGTGAACCGAGATAAAAAAAAAAAAAGGGAAGATGGAAGAGAGGTTGAGTTAGGAATTTAATTTAAGCACGTCTTGTGTGTCTGGAGGGCATGGAGAGGGGAGGGAGCAGTCCAGTGTCAGTATTTTAGACGTGACTGGGAACACCCCAAATGGGTTTTATACTTAAGACTTCAAGAGTGGGGATATAGATCTGACACAGCATTCATTAAAGTGAGAAAAGAGCTTGGATTAAGGTGTACCACTCTAACAGATCAGTTGATTAATGGCAAATGGGATTCCACAGGAGACTTTCATTCCTTTGCCTAAATCCACAGAGTTATTGAGTAAATGCTTTGATTTATTTTATTTTTTGTCAGTCTACGTTTAGGACTGGCACTGTTTTAAACTTTAACAAATGTTTTTGTTTCATACCTGAGGTGTTTTCCTTTAATAAAATAGAGGACTGGCTGTTGTGAAGAGCTGGTCATCTGCACGTTTCTGTCTGACTCACAGCTCTCCAGAGCCTTCTCATAGTGTGAATCCACTGAAGCGGTCTTTGCAAAGTGGAAAACACTACGCGAGTCACATGTCTGACCTTTGTATGCGCTGCGGCTTCAGGTCAGTTGAACAAATAAAAAGCGCTGACTTGTGTGGTACTGGTTCTGGAAATGGAACTCGTCAGAGAAGCTACGTTAAACCCAAGTGAGAAGGGAAATTATCAACTGTCTGGTGTGAGCTGGGGTTTGGTCATGTGAGAGCATGACTGTGCATCAAACTAAATGTTTCTATGTAAGAAGAAATCATAAATGTTAGAATGCGAAACGCCGTTCAGTGATTAATCAACCTGAAGAGAATCAAAGGAGAGACTGTCTCATAAAATTTAATGTGGGGGACATTCTTTCTTTATTCATACATATAACACACCATTTGTGTCTCTTTGTTCTTGTCTCAGTCTCAGTATCTGGGCTGCTTGTTCCTACACTCCGGCTGGCCTCTCTGTCTTGGTGAGAAGGTGGTCGTCCAGCTCTCCACCCTAGATTGGAGACTTCTGCGCAGTAATGACTTCTACCTGCAGGTAGTGCCCTTCTCTACACGGTGCCCCAGGCTTGCCCTAAAATGTCTGGCCCCTGGGGGTCGCACTGTTCAGGAAATATTGGTGCCAGAGTCACAGCATCCACTCATATTCACCTCTGAGTGGCTGCACTGTGTCAATAAAGAACGTGGCCACAAGAGAGAAGGTATGAGGGAAACTTCTATTACACTTTTTGTTCTTTTGTTATTTAAAAGCAGAGGTAGCAGTTTAATAGAGACTCTTCTAATCTGTAGACGAACAGATGCTTAGATATATTCATCAATTAAAACGGATTCTTCATTTTTCTGGACTGAATAATGAACCTTTTGTTGTTATTTTTTTACTGAACATTGGAGTTTAAAACATACTTGTTATGTAGTATAGTATAACAGTAAAACAGATGATCATGTGTACTCAGTGAACTTTAACCAAATGCCTACTTTACATAAACCCTGTCTTCTATCATTTTTGCACAGTTGGTGGAGGACTTGACACCTGTCTGGTCAGTACTTGTGATGGTGTAGGACGACTACCGTGGAAGGAGGTTGTTTACCCAAAGTTCATCCACGACCCATCTGAAGAGCTAGGCCTGATGGCAAACCATGATGATCTGAAATCCAGTTGCCTTTCCAGTGAAGGGGGAAGCAGCCTTGGGGTTTGGGGTGGCTCTTCATCTGGAGAGCTGGACTCCTGGTCCTGGGATGAGGAAGAAGATGATAGTCTACCACCATATGGCATGGACCCTGTACTCAGACGAAGGCGCAGTGAAGATGGGCTTGGGCGGACTGCGAGGCAATCTCAGCTTGATGGGGATTATGTAGAGCTTTTGGAACCCAGAGGGGGCCCTGATGGAGGGGTTGACTCAAGACAGAGGTACCTAGAAATGCATGGGATATGTAAAACTAAGACTTTGCCTTTGTGCAGGAGAGGTAAAGCCATCAGAATTCGGAAAGGGAAGGCTTGGACTTCTGGGAAAACAGAAAGGTCAGGAAGCTTTCGAGCTAATCGTGCCACCAAAGGCGAAGTAGTGGCTCCAAAGGATGGTGTACCACCACCAAAGCCTCCAAGGGCAGCTAGAGAACTTGGCAAAGTGAGGAGATCTTATTCCTCCTCTGTCCATGACTCAGATGAAGGAGATAAAATAAGCAGAGGTTTAGAAGGACAAGAAGGCTACAACCTGTATTTTGATGGCCAGTTCAAGGAAAGAAGGCCAGGCGTGGGCAGGGAGAGGGACAGCAATGGCTTCACACAACCATCCAGAGATGACCACAAAAGTAAAGACTCTCAGAGCAGTGACAGCTTGGTAACAAATGAAATATTTGACTTAACAAACAACAAAGCTGAGTATGTTGTTGAAGGTCAATCAGATCATGGATCACATTCGGACTCTGTTTTTGAGGATAATGATAAACCACTGAGTGGAGACAGCAATGCTATTACCCCAACATTGGACACACCAGAGAGGCTCTTTACTGAAGTTTCAGAAACTGAAGGAGCTGCCAACAGTGAGTCTATAATGAAGATTTCATCAAAGCTGGAGGTCACAAATGAAAGGGATAAAGGAAAGATGGAGGAAAGATTGTGCCCCAGAGGAAAGGAAGTAAAAACTGCTGGATTCAGAGCACCACGGTACAATGATAACACACTGCTGTTGTATGTGAAAGTACACACTGCTTAAACTTAAGCATAACCATGTCTTGATAAGTTTTTTTTTTTTTTTTTTTTTTGTGCATAGGAGGAAAAGGAAGGGAAAGGGGGGGAAAGGGAAGGGTAAGTCTGGTGGTCGTGGAAACCAGAAAGGAGCAAAACTGCAGAGTAAAACTCTCCAGCCAAGTCCCACGACCAACTCTGTTTCGACAAAGCTGTTACTAACTAAGGAACACCAGTCTAAACCAGCTGAAGAGGATGACAAACTCAATGGAGTGCCCACAGCAAGTAAAAGGAAAGATGATACAAGGAATAGCAGCCCAGGTCTGAAGAAAATAATGCATTAGCATTAGATACTGTTTTACCAAAAGCTTATGTTATACCCTATTTGTTTATGTTTTTCCATCTCTCAGCAGAGACAGAGGTAGAATCTTTGCCTAAATGCAATGACCAGTCTAGCACATCTTTCTTAAACCACTCTACAGAGGAGGCTGGGTCACAAGGGACATGTCCAGGCCAGATAAACGGTGTTACCTCTAAAGAGCCTGCTCTTCTCAGGGAACTACATGCAGATCTGCTCAAGTCAGGGAAACTTCAGTTGACAGGCAAGCTTCTTTACCTTACTGTAATTTTTATGCGATTTAAGTTTCTCAGAAAATGTTTTGTTTAGAAACTTTCTGCCCAAAGGACACTGATTTTTTTTTTATTTGTTCCAGCTATGCTCAATGTGCTTATTGATTACAGGTACAGTGGACAGGCTGGGACGTGCTCTGGTTTTCACAGATGCAAATGTATCAGATGAGGGTTTCTGTACAGAAGAGATGGCCCGTATTCTGGCTTGCTACCACAGAATCACACGGTAAGCTTACATATTCTACCACATCACTTGCAACCCATGCTCTTTGACAGAGTCGTACTCTGTATCATGTTGAAGGCTGTTTTAATGACTTTATGTCCAGGCTTGACTTGAACATTTTTACTAGGCAAGAGGCTGCAATTTGAACATGTTTTGATTTTGACATTTAAATGTGTTCAGGCCAGGCTTCTTATTGAGCAGAAGACAAATGGGTAAGATGACACAATGCCCTCGTGAAATGAGAGCAACCTTATACTGGGAGGGGAAGGCCTGGACAACTCTGGTCTAGCTTACAAACTGTGGTTGGAGATTTACTCTTTCCTGTCAGAATTTTAAAAAATGCCCCCAGTTGAGCCGACTGTTACAGCACACCAGCACCTGAAGACGTCCAATTTGGTGGGTCTCCCCGCTCTGTCCTCCAGAGTAAACTGCTTTTAGTAAAGCCTGACAGAAAAATTATATAAGCAGTTGCACTGTCAGTCCATGCTCTGAACACCACCTCATGCTCATGGCTTACCCAACAGAGCTGGAGGAGTAGATGACCACCTCATCAGATGCTGCATTATGGCATGAAATGCACATCATTATGGATCACTGCCTCCAGCTGCATAAAGTGGCGATCCAGGTTATGAGCACAATCATGGGGATGATGAAAAAGGTTTGTAGGCTCAATCATCCAGGTAGATAACAAAATAAGGTTAAAATAATTTCATCTGGACCAGTTTCTTTAAGGGAGAAACGTTTCGTCTTCTATCTGGAAGAATTCATCAGTCTGTGGCCTGCCCACCAGATCTGTCCAATAAGTAGCCTTCATTGCTGTGTTTCTAGTCAACCTCCTATTAGAATTTCAGAAGCAGGCTTTTAACACATGCAAAAGGACTCATTTGTCCAAAACAATCAATCATTATGTATAACAATCAAATGTTTTAGGCCAGATGGCCGACTTGCTACTCACAAAAACAGCTTGATGGGGCTTATGGTTCTACAAAAAAGGGCCAAGTGGCTGAATCTCACCACTATTCCCACAAAAGAGAAGGAGGACCTCCTCGACACTCCCATCACCCACGAGGTTTGTTTGGCTCAGAGGTCACCTCAAGAGGCAGGAGGAGAAGGAGAGAAACAATGAACATCTGAAGCCTTGTCTCCATAGCCGCAGCCCTACCGCTCCAGTGCCAAACCTTGGCTTGGGCAGCGGCCTGTTTGCCCCCCACCTTCAGAATCCCAAAATTGCCAAAGGTGCAGGGAGTCCCACAGGCACTGCAAAAACACTCCTTTCAAATCCATTGGCAGAGGAAGCTTAAGGGCCCTTACCCCAACCCACCACCACCCACCTCCCCTCAGGTGGCAAGGAGATGGAAACGGCTGGCTTGATATCCACTATAGGAATGAGTAGAATACTCCTCCCTCCACGATTCTGTTCCTAAGCCAGTTTGAAGAAAGTTCAGCCGAGACCCTTGCGTGTCCAAGAGAATGCTCAATGTGCCACAAAGACAAGACGAGGCAACATTCATTATGAGGAATCCCATAGTGGTTCCTTCAGAAGATTTGCACCACAACAAGCTAGGCCACTCCTCACATGTTTGCTTGTATTTTATAAACTTGATGTCACAGCATCATCATTGGCACATTCAATACTCCATGTAGCACCAAGTGCACAGGAGAATCGAAAACAAATGCTCTGAGCAACTGGCATGTAATGTGAATTCTGCTGAGCATATGGGAGTCAGGATATTTTTGTTCCCAATGTGAGATAAAAATGAATGCTATGAAAGAGAACTTTAGGTTACTGTCATAACCTGATTCTCTGAGTACCATAAGTGTCTCACCAAGTCACTCTTCTTGCTCTAACGTTGTGGAGAAGAGGTGAATATTTTTGACTCAACAGTGCAGTGCAGTTGGACTAACAACCACGTCCAATTTAGTGTAGAATGGATGATTTGTGGGTTTCTAAGAACATTGTTTCATGAAAAATACCCAAAAATCATGAACATAGACTCCATAGCCCTATGTATAGGGGAAGGGCCCTGCCCTCCTTGACATTGACAGGCTTATTTCCAGTCAGTCCCTGCTAGCAGGAGCTTCTGATGAGGCCACGTTGAGGGCAATATCAAGGTGAAACACTCACGCGTACTACTCAGAGAATGGGGTTATGACAGTAACCTGAAGATTTATTGCATCCCAAGTTGTAAAATTTTAGTGAAAGCAGAAAGTAGCACTAACAAAACGACTCTGGGGCTCTTGACTCATTTTTAGCCACTTACAGTATTTGTAGCTGAGTCATGGATGCAAAATATCTGAATGACAATCTACATCTCTCTTCTGGAGGATTCCATGGCATTCTATAGAAAGAGACAAAATAAACCCTCCAAAGAGTTCTGCATTTGGGTCTCGTTCCAATGGGACACACCCAAAAAACCTCAAGAAGAAGGTGCTCAAGAGACATCCTAACCACATTCCCAAACCACCTCAGCTGACTCCTTTTGATGTGGAGGAGCAGCGGCTCCACTTTAAGTCAGAATGACTGATTTCTTCACTTTATCACTAAAGCTGAGCCCAGTCATCCTTCAGAGGCAGCTTCTTTCAGCTACTTGTATCCAGGATCGTGTTCTTTCGGTCAGGATCCACACTCCATGACAACAGTTGAGGATTGGGACATAGACAGACCAGTAAATTGAGCAATGCCTTTTGGCAAACCAAACAACAGACTGAAGCAACACTTTTATTACTGTACACAAGACCTTGGTCCGTCGATCTATCTCTGTTACATTCTGCTGATAGTTGAACGCAAAGCGCAGGCAGAGGCGAAGACTCGAGGGTAAAATTAAGAACCAATTAATTAAACAAACACAAAAGGCTGATGTGGCAGCAAAACTTACTCATATGTAGACTTGGAGGTAAACAGAACATAATGCCAAAGGAGGACAATCCTTGGACAAGAGAACAATAACAAAACATAGTATATATATAGGCAGACTAATGAGGGGGTAAACACAAACACCTGGGATGAACAGGTGGAACGCAAGGGCTAACTACATGAGGGGAAAACAAGAGAACAGAAACAGACTTCATGAGGGAGACTCACACCAGTGGATATAATCCTCACAATTTCCTCCTTTGCCCTACAATTGTGAGCCAGGCTCTGGGATATTAGAATGTCTTTGTTTAAAACAGACTATACCTGAACTGGAAGAAAGATTCCACCTTTTTCAAGATATGTGCATGACAGAATGTTTAGGGTTGGACTAACAGCCACATCCAATTTAGTGTAGATTGGATGATATGTGGGTTTCTAAGAACATTGTGTCATGAAAAATACCCAAAAATCACCGTGTTGGCATGAACATAGACTCCAGTGAAAAGTCAGTTTTCCATTCCTAGCAACATCAACATTTTAGCTTGTGAGTAAAGGCAACATCACAGTGAACATGATCTCCATTATACAGCATAAGAAAATGTAGTTTTATCACTGATTTCCTTTCTCCTTATGCCCTGCACTTGAAAATGTTTGATTAGCGCCATGTCTGATATTTATTGTTCTTATCTCATTTGCTCACCAACTAAACCCTTTTAGCCAGAGGTTCTTATATCAGTCATGTCTTCCTTTTTAAAGACTTTGCCAAACAAAGTAAAAGCTGGAGTACGGAACGTGCAGTGTGTGCCAGCAAACTGAGTAAAACAACAATTCAACTTAGGTTTCTAGTTTAACTGGCCCAGACTCTGCATTGATAGTGTGGTAATGTTTACACAGTGTGAGCAATGCAAAACAATAGTTTTGTCAAGAAAATAACGACTGTATGAGAATCAAGCACTAATAATGTTTAAGAAGCATTTTTGTGACTTTGATACGATTTAGAAGAAAAGCCTAAGAAAACAATGTACCAGTTTATAATGTAGCACATGTTGTTTTTACATTTTTGTCCATGTTTTAAACTTAAATCCCCCTCCCTCATCAGGCCTGAAGCCAAAGAAAAAGGCCTAACGATGGTGATCGACGGCAGACGCTCCCAACCATCTGCTCTATTCCTTTCTGCACTTAAACTGTTCCAGGTGAGGCAGGGGAAGGATGGAAACTGTTGCTAAGACAAATGTGCCTACTATGTGCTTGTGTGTTTTAATTAACCTGCAGATGGGCTAGTAGCTCAAGCACATGTTTCTGTGCATGTTTGTTTGTGTGCTCCAGGTGTTGGTTCCTAGCGGACTCGGATCTGTCTTGGTTTTGGTGGAAGAACAGCAGGAGACTCTTGCGTTTTCTGTGGAAGGAGCTGAGGTGATCTCATACAGATTGTAGGCTCACAGTCTAACACAACACTAAAGGTTTTAGGTCTTGTTGGTTTAAAAAAATTAAAGTCTGAATGTTAAGATCAATACCAACATAAAATATCTAAAGGCATGGTGGTGTTTATAGGTAGCCAAATGACAAACTGGTTCATATTTTTAAACAAATTCAGAAGAAATAATAATGTGTGTCTCTTTTCCGTTGCCCAACCATTGTCAGTTTGACATTACCTCACCTGGAGAACACATCCCTAAACATCAGGGTATATTTCCATATCTAGAGTTTTCAAATGATCTGGTAACGAACATTGCTTTGCATCATTTAGCAAGGGACTTTTCATGCACACAATATTCTCAGTCACATTTGGTTATATTTTATACCAGCACTTTTTTAACTTTGCACATACAGTATAAGGGAAATCCTGCCTCAATATAAGAAAATAGATATATAGTTATTTTTTAATTAAGTGGAGGTGTGTGGAGTACAGGGCAGCACGGTGGCGCAACTGGTAGAGCTGCTGCCTCTCAGTGAGCAGGTCCTTGGTTCAAACCCCGGTCCAGGGGCCTTTCTGGGTGGAGTTTGCATGTTCTCTCCGTGCATGCGTGGGTTTTCTCCGGGTGCTCCGGTTTCCTCCCACAGACCAAAAACATGCATGTTAGACTGATTGGTAACTCTAAATTGTCCCTAGGTGTGAGTGAGAGAGTGAATGGTTGTTTGTTTCGTTTGTCTCTATGTGTCCCTGTGATGGACTTGCGACCCGTCCAGGGTGTACCCCGCCCCTCGCACAGTGATTGCTGGACATGGGCACCAGCGACCCCCGTGACCCAAAATGGAATAAACGGGTAAAGAAAATGGATGGATGGATGTGTGGAGTACTTAGTAACACTTATTAATATTATCCATCCATCAATCCATCTTTACTCGCTTCTTCATTTTTGGGTCTTGGGGGTCACTGGTGCTCATATCAGACACGCTGGACACGTCTCCAGTCCATCACATGGACACAGAGACAAACAAGACAAACAACCATTCACTCTCTCATTCACACAAAGGGACAATTTAGAGTTACCAATCAGCCTAAGATGAATATTTTTAGTCTGTGGGAGGAAACCCGAGTACCCGGAGAAAACCCACGCATGCACGGAGAGAACATGCAAACTCTACCCAGAAAGTTCTCGGTCCGGGATTTGATCAGGTGACTTTCTCGCTGAGAGGCAGCAGCTCTGCTAACTGAGCCACAGTGACGACTATCAACATTGTTAATCTTATTCAATAAAACGTTAGCTAACACTGATAGACACTATTTATGTCTATTTTATAAAGGTTTTTATTAGTTTTAAATCATTTTTATTCATGTTAAAATGTTTAGGTCCTGGTTTCTTTGTCTCTCCAGATCCTCACAGTGAGGGGCACAGGAGTCCTTCAGCAACATGTGGACCAGCAGCAGCTACCCAAAGAGCTGAACGGAGACTTCAGTCACTGTCACGCAGACTGGCTGGCCTTTAGACTGGTAAGAGAATACTATGTTTAGTTTATTCATGTAAAATAAACTTTAGTCTTTTACCTGTTCTGCAGTAGTACAGCACAGTTTATTATTATACCATAGCTTTAGTATTTTCTGAGGGGTCCAGGTTTTTAGACTGGGAGTGTGTCTGAGTATTCCTGAGAAAACTGAACATAACGTTATCACTTCAGGCCTCTACAAATGAGTAATAGTTGTTTTTGATAAAATTATTGCACAATGGCCTTCCTCCAGAATACAGTATGTTAAAACAAATTGATGTTTGTAGCGTTTGTCCTCCACAGAAAGAGTCAGAGGTTCATCAAAATCCATGCTCAATAATCCAGGTATAAAATCCAAAATTATTTTTACTTGGATTATTGAGCATGAACTTTGATGTTTTTAACCACTTTGGCTATGGCTGCCTCAGAGGAGTTGACTAGGTGGGCCCCAGAAACCATTTTATCACCAGCAAACTGCTTGGTCCACTGTGTGAGTGTTGCTGCTTGTGGGACTCAGTTTCTTTGTGGCTCCTCACATTGATGAAGTCCTTTGGATGAAGGACGAAACGTCTCAACAAAAAAGAAACCGTTCAGGTGACCTGACTGAACGTTGTTGGAGTCAGAGGTTCAGTTCCACCAGGAAGCAAGACACTGAACCCCTCATTGCCTCTGACATGTGACCCATGGGTGTATAAATGTGATCTAGAGCTCTGATCAGTCTCTACAGAAGGATTTCTTCAGTTTATCTTTGTAGAGATGTAGTAGAGTGCTGTTTGAATGTGTGTGTGTGGAGGTAAATGAGGGCACAGATTGTGTTGCAAAGAGCTTTGAGTAGCATGGTTGGATGGAAAGGTGATATAAAAGTACAGTCCATAGTAGAAGTATGAGGTACAACTCAAAGATGAGGAGGAAGAGAAGGGTGAGGTAGTGGAGGATGTGACTATCCAGTTGTTAATGAATTCAGAATCCCATGGTGGACTAAGAGGAACCAAAAACAGAAAAAAATAAATCATATATTTCCAACATGCTTGAACCCAATTCAGTTTATTCTACTTTGTCCAAGCAGAACTAAACTCAAACTTGCTTATGCAACATTCAGTTTGAACTCAGAAGTAAAAAATCTCCAAATTTCAGTAAAACAAAAATCAACTGGAAGGTCCTCTGAAGAGGTTTCTAATCAGCTTCAGACTCAGAGTCTAATATGGCTACGGTCTGCATTAAAAAGTTGCAGTAATAAACTTTTTTATTTGCACTTTTGGGGATTTGTATCACTTCAAACCCTTCTCCCACATAGTACTGTCCAACCTCCATTACTGATGATGTTGCTGCAGTGTTCGAATGCATAAAATGCAGAGAAACATGTTGTTAGTGGTTTGTATTGCTAATAATAATTAGCCTGATCTACGAGTGTCAGGGGATTTTGGTCAAGGTGTATGGATGTTTTTAACTACTATGTCTGAGAATGTTAACTGCCCATGAACCATGTGTTTGAGTCACCAGAGAGTTATTTTCTTTCTCAGAGAGAGCTGAATGTGTGATTTGATCCTGCATGTGCAGCTGGGTGGCCGAGGTCATCAGTGTCTGCCTGTGAGAGCTGATAAGCATGTAAAAACAAACCTCGCACACTGCCCATGGCAGATTCTCGTGACTGGACTCCATGCATGTAAAACTTCTGTACATGTGTAACCTGTTATGGAAGTCTGCCCTTGCAATTAAAACAGGTTAAAAATCTTCTCGTGTCCGCGAGTGTGACTTCTTTGAGTAAAATCAATAGAGGATATTTTTATCCAACAGTGCGCACAACAGTTACCAAGTTCTATGGATAAAACCTGAACATGGTTATGATGATCATGACATCATTTTGTTATCTGAGTTCAGACTACTGAGGTAAACACAACAGCATAATTTTTTTTTTTTTTTAGCGTCTGGAGAGACTGACAGAGTGCTGTGAGAGCACCCTCTCACTGCTTGAAGAAGCACTGCAGGCGATGGAGACAGAGCCAATACCAGACAACATTAAGGTCATACTGAAAAATGTCATTTTGTGATAGCTATTTTCAAGAAACAAAGCAAAAAGTTTGCCTAACACAGTGATCTTCTTCAGGCTGTTCCTCAGAGTATAAACAAACACAGACAGCTGATGGCGAGTGTCCTGGCTGACCAACGTCTAACTGAACTCCAGCAGAGAGGGGGGGCATGGCTCGCAGGACTGACAAGTTGTTCATCAGGCTTGGCACAGAAGTCACCAGACTGCAGGTACTAGGTCTACTTTCACTCCATGTGGCTCTGTTTCTATTGGACCACCTCATTTTGATCAGATAGAAAGGACTGTCGTACGGTGGCCCTAAGGTATAAATGAACAACATTTGAAAGAACAGAATAACATTTAAAAAAAAGAATTACATTAAACCAAAGTGGAAGTGGCCGAAGCGGAAGTGGCCAGAACCACATTTGAAAAACGGAATTACATTCATAGGGGGAGTGGTGGCGCAGAGGTTGAAGATGGGCTTGTGATTGGAAAGTCGCAGGTTCACCTCCCGATACCGTCAACATCAAAATGTGGGTGGAAAAGGTGAAACACCCACACCTCCCTCCACCCTCATCCGCCCCACCCTGGGCCCCTGAGCAAGGCCCCTAACCCCCACCATCTGCTCCCTAAACAGGTCTCTCTTGCAAATGAGTTCTTGTGGCTCAATGAGACTACCTTTATAAATAAAGGCTAAATGAAAAAAAATAATAATAATAATTGAAAAAACTGAATCACGTTTGAAAAAAAAATATCACATTTGAAAATACGGAATTACATTTGAAAAAATGGAGTTACATTAAGCCAAACCAAAAGTGGTGGTGGTGGGAGGGAGGTTAATTTATTAACAACATAAAACAGAACAATGTACAGTACACACGCAACAGAGGTAGGGTTAGCAGGCTAGCCTGTAGAAATGGAGAGCTAGGTTTTGTTCAAGCGCTAACCGTAATCCTGCCAAGGTTTTCCAGCGTCATATCTTCTTCTTTAAGCTTGAACAAAATATAGCTCTTCATTTCTACAGGCTAAAGGCTAGCCTGCTAAACGTACCTCTGTTGTGTGTGTACTGTACATTCATATCCTGATGCATGCTCAATAATCCAGGTAGAAAAATCTAAAAAAAAAAAAGTTAAATCTGGTCCTCTGGACATTCAAAAAAAAAAAAAAATTTGTAGAAATGTTTCGTCTTTCATCCGAAAGACTTCCTCAGTCTGAGGTGCTGTATTCAGCTCAGTCTTATAAATAGCACCTTCTCAGAGTGGATCAAGCAGTTTGTTGCTGACAACCAAAACCAGCTGATCACATGCTCAAGGAGGACCATCATCCTAACAATGGATCATTAGCACACTGATGGCTGTTTACTATTCACAGAGGGCTGAGTGATACTAGCAATAACAGCATTGTTAACCTCTTACAATGATTAGGCCACTTCCACTTTGGCTTAATGTAATTCATGAAATGTTTTTTTGTGCAAGCAGGTGCTTCATGTTTGTGTCTGAATGAACCCAGTGAGTCATAGACTACATCCTGCTTCGCCTTTAACCCACTAGTGACAGCCTTAAATGGCGAAGCCTATACGAAATAGAACGTTGGTTACGTACTGTAACCCCAGATTCTATGAGTATAGGCGCAGCCCTTTCAGCTCTGGGTCTCACTGGTTCCTAAATGGCTGAAGAAAAAAAGCTATTTGGGAGCCGATTGCCCGGTCTCACCGTAATTTATAGGACTGGGGGTGGGGCCCACACAGCCGGTGGGCACGGACTAAAGTTTTTAGTGCTGCGCACGAAGGGATAAACCCACTAGTGATAGCCTTAAAGGGCTGCACCTATACTCATAGAATCTGGGGTTACAGTATGTAACCAACGTTTTTCTACCATGAGATAAATTAGGGTGGTTTTGACATTTCTTCACAGCATTTGAAAGATTGTGTTTACTGAAAAATACAGTTATACAGCCTATTAACACAGGAAACAGCTTTTATTTCCTGAAATCACTTTGACTAAAACATAAATGTGCTAAACACTTACATGTGTTCCTATGTTTGTTGGCCAGTGAACACAAAGTTATGATAAACAAGTATGTTGCCTATACCTTCTTCCAGTTCAACAGTTTTATGCTTTAGGATACAATATTTAAAAAGCACCTGGGTGTCATTTTCGTTGGTTACCTTGCTGGGATATTTGATTTTAGAAAGACTGGGCTTGAATGTCTGCCTGTTTTAAATAATTTCTCACTATTGTTTTTTTATTTTTATTTTTTTAACCTTTATTTAAGCAGCCAAATCTCATTGAATTTATCATTGCAGAATGATGAACTCCAAAATATTTGGAAATGACTTTTTAATCCTTACCAGATCAGTGGAGAGTAACAGTTTCTTCTCTAACAGCTTTGTCTTTAAGGAGTCTTTCATCCTTGTCATTGAGTTAATATACATCTCTTTAATCCAGATTAGCAGACCACCTAAATTCCCGCTGCATTGGAGGTACTCAACCTGATGATGATAAGATAATGAATGCATTTAATTAGTAGCACATGGCTGACTCTTGATACCTGTGGAAACAAGAGTGGGCTTAGTTTATCACTCTGTTTCTATCTAGGTCATGTCAATCCTAAAAATTTAATAGAAGGCAACTAGACTTCTTTTCTTGTTACTGAAGTCTTTTTCAACACTCATCTAAAAGGCTTCTTTAGTTCTGATGACCACTAAGGTAGCAATATAATCCACAACCTATTAGAAAATCTGCCACTTTTTAATTGGTGTGTGCATGGCCACTGGTGGTGATGACGTGTCCTTCCTACTGTATGTGCTGAGAACCAGGGAGTGGTTCTGACACCCACCCCCTTCCCTCTCCTCCAACCAGACAACATACCCAGGGATAAACCCTCAGCTTTTACTCATGACTATTCTTAGCACACTGTCCCCCTCCAAATAGGATGTGTACGTAGGGAAGTGCAATGTGAGAAAGATGTTAGTTAGAGCTATTTTTTCTAGTTGTCTGTGCGATTGTTACATCTTCCTCGCACCAGTGACCCCGTGACCCAAAAAGGAAGAAACGGGTAAAAGATAATGGATGGCTGATACAGAAGAAGTCACATGTTAGAAGTCATCAGAAACAGGACCAGACAGGAAATGTCTCACATTTACTTCAGTCACACTAAAATATGATCACTGCAGCAGTTTACAGGCGTGAAAACATTGAATCGTAGATATATATTTTTTTTCCATTTAGCCTTTATTTATCCAGGTTAGTCTCATTGATCCACGAGAACTCATTTTCAAGAGAGACCTGTTTTTTTAGGGAGCACATGGTGGGGGTTAAGGGCCTTGCTCATGGGCCCAGAGTGGGGCGAATGAGGGTGGGGG